TCGCCCCTTCGCCCCTCGTTTGGTCCTTTTTTTTCTCCAGCGAATTTATTTTTAACTTTGATGAAACAAATGTGCGTAGTCAATGTTTCTCTCTCTCTCTCTCTCTCTCTCTGTCTCTCCCTCTTCATAGATTTTTATATATTAAAAATTATATATAAATCTTTCCATGCAAGATGTTTCAATCCTTTATTCATAACGATATCACATTTATTAAATAAAAGTTTGTTTCTATAAAAATAAAAATTATGAGTCCCAATAAATTAATATTTTGTTTAATGGATTTAATATAGATTAAATTAGGGACATTATTCTAAATTTAATACATATTGATAAACGTTCGCGAATTAATCGACACATATAAATTCGTGCGTATCTCGTGAATAAAAGAAATATACTAACATTAAGAAATTGAAACGACTTTCTTGGAGAAAAATCAAATAAATATATTTGCTTACATCATGAGTCGATGCATTATTTCATTGTAACTCCCTGTTTCTTGTTGCTACGGGGTAATCCATCTCTTCACTCATTTTCACAGATGCACGTTCGGTTAGCATCATATATACACACACACACACACACGCGTACAAAATCACAACGATTGCATCATCATTTCATAGTCGACACTCCCGGCTATTTTTCCGACTATCTCTTACGTTACGATGCACTGTATTTACAAAATTACCAATATTCACCGAATGTACGATTTGAATCTCTCTACTGGAATAACGGAAAACAACGATCACACCGACACACACCGTTATACTGGCGATTGGACGACAAAGAAATCAGAAATCGCGCGACTGACGCAAATACGGACGCGACTATCGCGATTTTTATCATTACCCGAACGTCACACGCTGGCGCCGACGAAAACCATTCGTCTTCGGTAATCCATCTCGATGATCCCTCCTCGATGATCCTCTTGATTCTCCCGATATCCGTTTGCACTTGCGATTATGACGTAGAATGTACGTCCTCGGGCTGCGATCGGGAAGACGCTAGAAATGCTTCGAAGCATTGCATTAACCAATCAGAATAAATAGATCTTTACTCCTTTTATTCCTGATTGGTCAATCAAACGCTTCGAAGCATTTCTAGCGTCTTCCCGACCGCAGCCTCAGTACACAACCTGCAATAGATCGCGCGTGGCGCCAATTCGATCCGACAGGATAGACATCTATGATGAATATCGAAAAACATGTTAAGCGTGAAAACTCGCCTACTTCAATTAACATATCAAGAACGTTCGTAAATAATCTTGATATTCTTGACTCGCGTTCATACATGATATTTTTATTTCGGAAAACGACCGAGGGAAACGGGGAATGATAGCGGTTTGCTTTAATTCGATGGACACCTGTTACGTATATCGAAAGACACATTGATTGACACACTAATATTGACGCGCTAATTAACGCGCTGGGATGCGAGTTTTACTAACGAGAAAACGATGCCAAAAGTACGATTTGAAAATCTTTATGATGAAACAATGCGGTTTGTGGAAATTCTCTTGAAGAATATTACGTACGATTGTGATTTATGAGAACAATTTTAAAACACGAACGGAGTTAAGAACATGTAAAATCACAGATTTCAATAAAAACTCCGAGCAGTTCGGAATACTAAGACTTCCTGCGCGCAGAATTTTAATTCAAATGCATAATAATAGTTTAATATTTCCCGACATTTTGAATTTTAGATTTGCTCTCCAAGTACGTATTTTGACGTATTTAATTCGCTGTTTCCGGCTCAATATTGATCTTTATCGCGTAGTTAGTTATCTAATATCGCGTAATGAATAAATGAAATGTAATCAATGAAAGGAACATTTAAATTTTAATATTGTAGAATTAAGTGATTAAGTGTCGCAATTTTTTGAAATTATAATTTCTATTATTCTTATTTCCCAAAAAGCAAAATTTACAAAATTACTCAATGTTTCTTCTTATAAATGAAATATTGAAAGTTATAAATTGACGTATTGCGGCACATAGTTATTTCCGCGGACAAGAGGAAAAGAAAATTGAGCGGGAAAAAAGGAAGATATTTGTTTAATATCGGTGAATTACCACGATACCGCCAACGACCATCGACGTACAATTCTATGTGGACGATATCCCCTGCTGACGCTCCCGGAATTAAACTAACCCGAGTTATTGCAACGGATGTATATGTCTTTCTTCCCGCAAATTGGTAACACGATTGCCCCCGAGCTTGCTAACGCGAAATCGAATTATTCTCCGGATATTGAACTCGCGCCGCATGTCTGTTGTTTTTCTATTCTTTTTTTATAAAATCAATACCTAGATATATCGACAAGTAAGATGAAAAATGAGATTTAAATAGATCCTAAAATGTAACGTAATAGAGACGATTAAATTGTGCATTTTAAAACGCTGTTAAAACATGCAGCGCGTGGATCTATTAAATTATTCAAAGGCATTAATCAAAATGACCTGCTTAAACAATAATCATATATGAATATTCCGAAAATTAAATTTATAAAATTAATTACGATGTTAATGAATAAATTATCCTTAATTAATAATTTTATTTTAATTCAATTTTTATTTTTATTTTATTTTAATTTAAAAAATAAATAAATTACAATCTTTAATGTATTTAATAGTATAATTTTTATATAATACATTTAATAAAACGCGTATTTTTCTTGTTCCAATAAGGGGTAATAAAATTATAAAAATTTGAGTCTCTGAATCTCAAATATTTTTATTCTCAATCAATCTCTATCATATTAAATGGCATATTTTGTAAATATAAATTAATGGTATCCTCCATCTTCTCGCGATTCTAGATATACTTTGCACTGGTAGCATCAACCACCGGCACGGTTTTTCGAGAGGAAAGTGAATATCTCAAGGGAGAGGTTTCACTACCAGAGTCATCCAGCTTTCTGGAAGGAGGAACGATATCGCCAAGTAAGTGGACAATAAATAGCAAGTAGTAGTCAATACTCTAGCGAATTAACGGTATTTGATTTTTCCATCATAATAAAATTTTCGATCTCACGCATGGAATCGTCCTCGAAATTGTCTCTACCTAAGTAGTCGGCTTCGCTTAAACGATATCGTATTGCTTGTATTGCTTCAGCCACGGTTCATTTCAACGCAATGCTGCTTATCTGCTCCTGCTGCGGCGTGTTGTGCAGTCTCCTTCTTTTGTACGGCTTGTACAAGGTAGGGAAAAATTCCGGAGTAATCATTAAGAAACGCCATATAATTCCATTCCTTTATTTATTTGTAATACTTAGATATTGCAAGAAATTAATTTGGGAAATATAGAAATGTACAAGATAGTGCAAAATTGCAGATTAAAAGCAGTAGTAGTATAATATAATTCCACTCTTTTACTTAATTGTGAAAATTAGAAATCGTAAGAGGTTAATTTGAAAATGTAGCTGTAGAAGCTTTATATAGAAAATTATTATACCGTCTCTATTGTTATATTAGATTGTTGCACTTTAGATGCTATTATTATATTAGATAAGAAAAAATTGTCACTTTCTTTTACATGCCATTATTATTTTACTCTTTCTTTGAGAAAACAACATAATTTTTATAAGTATTTTCACGCGTAGCTATTATATCTGAGTAAACAGCTAAATTTGTATTTTACTATATTTCTCGCGATACGAACTTTTTGTCTTTCTCAGGATGTAGATTTTCGCGTCTATTACATCACGTCATTTACCACTCGATCCCATGCGAATAGTAGAAGATACTTTTATTACTTGAAACGTGATAAAACAGTATTATCGCTGGTCTTGAATGGATGATATGAAAACCTACCGGTGTAATATACACACGTTATTCCCGAGAGTTATGTGCTATTAAACGCAACATAGAATAGACAATTGAATGAACAATTCATATACACTGTTATTATTAAGTTTATTCATATTAACTCTTAATGGAAAGTCTAATCTTGCTGATTATTTTCTGAGTTCTTAAATTATTAATATTATTATTAATTTATAATTTTAATGTATCCTTGGATAGCATAATCAAATAAGGATATAAATTTAAAAATCTGTTCACGTAACTATTATTTATTATCAAGACTACAATATACAGCAGAATGTGCGTATTGATTCTTTATTTTTGTTTCTGTGAATCTATATCTATAATATAGATATATTGATTTTTCTTATATTAACTGAGTGAGGTTTTCATGCAGTAATATATAGATATAAGCCGTCAATAAACGTGCTATATAATCCACATAATCCATTTTGCGTGTGCGATATTATTATAAATGATAAAAATTATAAACTTGCACGCGCGCCTAGCAAAAAAAAAAAAAAAAAAGATGGAGTGAAAATACATTAAAGATCTTAATTATTATGAGTACCTGCTTGATTGTGACGAATATTATTAATAAGACAAACTGTAGCATTCACGCGATATGACGTAACGTGACGTGAATAATATATTCATGAATATTAATAGAATGAAATACTGATAACATGGTAAGAGGAAACCTTTTCCAAGTATCACGAAATATGTTTGACGAAAAACATATTTCGTGCATTTTATATTCTACCGCTTTACATTACAGAATTTCCATTACTACGCTTCATTTTATTATTTTAATATCAGAGAATTATTAAACGGAACCGCATAATTAAAATCCTTGGAATTTAGGAACGTGAAACGAACAGAAGTCGGCAGAAATTTTTTTATGTGGAAAATTCGACATATAACTTTCATATAAGCTCTTGTATGAGTATCGCTCACTCTCCGCATAAATTTTCAGGACCGCAAGATGTTGCTGCTTCCATGGATTATTGTAATCATCGTGTGTGGCATCATTGATATAGCACATTCACTATACTTGTTCATCGTTACAGTGAGTATTTTATATTGTATTCCTTTTCATATATATATATATATATATATATATATATATATATATATATATATATATATATATATATATATATATATATATATATATATATATATATATATATATATATATATATATATATATATATATATATATATATATATATATATATATATATATATATATATATATATATATATATATATATATATATATATATATATATATATATATATATATATATATATATATATATATATATATATATATATATATATATATATATATATATATATATATATATATATATATATATATATATATATATATATATATATATATATATATATATATATATATATATATATATATATATATATATATATATATATATATATATATATATATATATATATATATATATATATATATATATATATATATATATATATATATATATATATATATATATATATATATATATATATATATATATATATATATATATATATATATATATATATATATATATATATATATATATATATATATATATATATATATATATATATATATATATATATATATATATATATATATATATATATATATATATATATATATATATATATATATATATATATATATATATATATATATAT